CTTGATCAATTTAATTTGATATGAAGTCATAGGTTTAGTAATTTGTATGATGATGAGGTCGTTGATCTAGCGAGTCTAATGACAAGTATAAATACCATATTACCGCGGAATAGCGCACATGGGCATTATTTCAAGATTCGGCCCGAATTAAGCTTAATTTAGGCCGAAATTTGTAATTTCACCCCTGCATGTTATTTTAAGATAATACAATAAGCCACAAATTCGAAAATAGAAGTTTGTGCTTTTTTTTGCTGCTTTCATAGTTGCCTGAAACCCTATTTTTGGCTAATCGAAATGTTTTTTTAACACAACTTTTTTTACCATTCCTAGTAAAGATCTATTGTTACACTATTTGTATATACAAACATGGAGTTATCGAAACCAATAGACAAAATAGAAACTTACCGAAGTGATGTATGTCATTCACATATATTGGTTGAAAACCTAAAAAATCTTTGCACCAGGCTAAATTTGAGTACAAAGGAAATAAGGCTGACTTAATAGAGCGCCTTATGATTGCTAGTGATTTGACTCAACAACGCCCAAACAATTTGAGTAAGGGTAGTGAAAGTTTGGAAAGGGAGATGTTTGAAAACACTTACAGCACTGAAAAAATCAATCAAGAGAACAAATTACGTTGTAAAAGCCCATCTTTCAGTATACTATCTAAGCTTTTTAGTAATGATGAGTCATATAACAAAAGACAAAAACGAGTAAAAAGGGAGGCCAAAGACTTGACTGAGTTTGAAATATTGCTAAAAGAGATTAAGCTTTTGCGTAAAGATATGAATATCATTACGGAATGAGTTGAGGTGTCAAATATAAGGTTGGAGATTCATAAAAACTGGCTTGATGTGAAGTTTAAAAGATCAAGAGACCAATTTGAGTACAATGCACTCTGTGTGATTAGGAATGATTTAGATTTGGCATTGAGTGTTTCAACAGGTAACAAAGCAATCTGTAATATTGAAAGTACAAGAGTGAAAACACTTGACAGAACAGTGGTTTTCAATGTAGCAAGAGAGTATGGTTAGAAAGTGGCGATTGACCTACCGCAGTCAAAAAGTGAAGGCTTGTCGGCATACAGTGAGACAATAGAGCAAACAAGGCAGACAGCAAACCTAAAACAACAAGAAAAAAGGAAGTTCTCAAACAAAAGACAGTTTTTTCAAAAGTATGAATTCCATGAAAGGCTTGGGTTTAAAAACAAGTCACATTAGAAACAAGGGTCCTACATACTAAACAGAAAAAGGGATGAACCCTTCATGGTAGAAAGAGAAAGAAATAAGGCTTTCGTGTGCTACAACTGTGGGGGTTAAGGCATTATGCAAGCAACTGTACCTTAAGATCAGACAGACGACTATTAGAAAGAAAACAAAGCCGATCCAGAGAAATTTCAAGATACATAGCACCAAATAGAAATCGCAGCTGACTACTCTCGGGCTCTCAAAAATTCGGTAGTAGGGAGCTTTAACAAACCATTGTCAGTAACCTACTGAAGAGAAAAAATAAAGGCATCATCTCTGATTTTAGATTGGCTTGAAAATGGGATCCCACTATTCCCAAAGGGCTTACTCCACCTATCACTACAAAATATACCAAAACAATATCGATTTACACAGGAACAGAAAATCTGGTTAGATCAAGAGTTGATATGACTGTTAGAGGAAAAGGCGATAACCAAGGTTGGAGAAGGATCTGTATGACCGGATTGTCTATTGGAGATAAGCTTCATATTTCTAACACCAAAGCCAGTGCTGAAAAAATGGAGGCTTATTATAGATTTGTAAAGATTAAACAGAAATTTAACTAAGAAATCTTTTTGGTTTGAAGGACTAAAAATATTCATTTGGACAGTGGGAAAGAACTGGTGGGTTATAACCTTGGACCTCAAAGATGAATACCACCATCTTCTAATATCAGAGAATACTCAAAGGTTGCTTGGATTCAGGTTTAAAGAGAAATGGTTACATTATCGAGTTTTACTATTCAGTCTAAGCCAAGCGGTATGGGCTTTCTCAAAAGTAATGTGGGCTTTGATTGGACATTGGCAATCAATAGGCATTTACTGCAGAAATCATGTGAACAATATCTAGGTTGCTTATCCAGATATCGAAGTTCTAAGATACCAAAAAGACCATGTAATCGAACCAGATTTGAGGTTAGAAGGGTTAGTTTTAGTAGAAAAAGGAAGTTGAAAACCCACTCAGGAGCCCAAATTTTATGGCCTAATACTAAATATAGTAAGAGTACTAGACGAAAAAATAAAAATAGTAAAATGAGCCTTGAAACTGTTAACAATGCAAAAGGAAGTCATAGCACAGTCCTTAGCCTCAGTAACTGGCATGCTAATGAGCCTTGACAGAGCATTTTCCTTAGCAAAAGTATACTGTCTAGAGTTTTATAGCCTGATCAATACTATGCATTGCAAACCTTGGAAATAGGATCGAAAAATAAGACTATCAGCAATAGCAAAAGAGGATGCAATTTGGCTGTTTCAAAATTTAGAAAAGAAAAATGGTTGTCCGGTATGGAAGCCTTCATGCATACTTCTACTATTTGTAGATGCCTCAATGACTGGTTGGTCAGCAATGCTATTTCACACAAAGCGTTCAGAAATTGGGAAGAAGGTATCAGCACGTGGACATAGCAAAGTTAGAGTCTGAAGCAATATTGCTAGGGCTACAATCATTTGGCAAAAAACTGGCCCATTATTGGATTACAGTATTTATAAACAACAAGGTGGTGAGAAAAACAATGGAATTGGGGGAGGAAAATGCCATGGCAAAAAGAATATATGAGGGAAGTTTGGAATTTCTGCGATGAAGTAGATATTTGGATTTACAAATTCGATGGGTGCCAAGCACAACAAATCCAGCAGACAAGCTCACAAGATATTTTGATGAGTTAGACTGAAGTTTAAGAAAGGGAGTTTTCGAACTATTGGATCACATGTGGGGCCCACATACAGTAGATCATATGGTGAGTGAAAACTCAACGCACCTTGCAAGGTTCAACTCATGATGGTATTGTCTAACAACAGAAGCCATCGATTGTTTTACACAAGACTAGAAAGAAGAAATAATTTATGTTTGTACTCCATTAGAACAATTAGATCATGTGTTCTATTATGTAATAGAATGTTAAGCAACAACGACAATAATCGTACCAATCTGGATTTCGGCCTCTTGGTGGCCAATTATGCTACATCACCCGTACCGGGAGATGTTACTTTCAGAACCATAGGAAATTTTTTTGCCAAGCTTGAACAGAAAAATAAAACCATTGAACAACCAAAATTGGAAGTTTATAGCAGTACAAATAATGTTTTAAACAGCCTCTTGATGCAAGCACATAATATTTTGCTGCAAAAATTATCATACAATCGTAAATTAAAAGCTGTTTGGAGTGATTTCATTGACTTCTGCAATTTATATGAGTTAGTAGCCCTGCCAGCATCTCAAAAAAGTCTGTTAGCATATCTAATTTGGTCAGATATACACGAAAAAACAGTAAAACCCACCCTGGTTCTAACAGCAATATCAAACCAACACAGTAAGCAAAACTTGCCTGACTCAACAAAGAGTTTTAAAGTAAAAAAGCTAGCAAAGCTATTGACTAAGCTTGCTGCAAATAATAGAGAAGCTGCATGGCCACGTGATTTGCTAACCATTGATGCACTAAAGAATTATGTGGATAACCTACCAATAATGACCGATTACAAAATATGGGCACGTGATTGTGCCTTGGTAGCAATTGGCCTACGTACAATATATAGAGCAAGTGAATTAGTAGCCCTTTGCTAAGTGATTTTAAGAAGGAAAATGGTCTTTTGTGGATTCGTATAAACTGATCTAAAACAGATCAACAGGGCATTAGAAAATTTATCCCAATCGAACCAACAAACTCCAGATTCTGCCCAACCAGGTTGTGGAAACAATATTTATGTGTTAGGGGAAAATCAGGTAAAATAGCGTTCCTGTCAGCAAAAAATGACAAGTTAATAGTAGAAGCTGTTAGTTCAATTATTAAGCGAATTGCAAACTATGCAAAATTGAAAGGAAGATATTCGAGTCACAGTTTGTGTATAGGGGAGCAACAGCTGCTATGAAAGCTAGTCTTTCACTACCACAAATAATGGCTATAGGAGGCTGGATATCCAAAATAGTGTTACTATATTTGAGAACAATTGTCACAACGCAGATCAATATGTTAGCAAAAATAGGGTTTTAGCATTTTATTATGTCATAATTCTCTTTTGTTTCCTATAATTTTCTTTATGATGTACCTTTGAACTAATTGAATTGAGAAATTGATTTGCTTTAGAAAAGAAAAAAGAAAAGAAAAAGTGTAATAATGTAGTTGTAAGTGAAATTCGAGCGAAAATAATAGGACTGACTATGATGTAAGCACAGGAGGGATATTATTATGAGGATTATCTGACCTTATGACTATACGTATGGGTTACTTGATCAATTTAATTTAATATGAAGTCATAGGTTTAGTAATTTGCATGGTGATAAGGTCGTTAATCTAGCGAGTTTAATGACAAGTATAAATAAGCCACAAATTCAAAAATAGAAGTTTGTGCTTTTCTTTGCTACTTTTATAGTTGCCCGAAACTCTATTTCTGGCTAATCAAAATGTTCTTCCCTCCCACCCCTCACCAAAAAAAAAAAGGGGGTGTAAATAGAAAACCAGAGCAATCGGAGAACAATCTTGTGCTTTGACATATCAATACTATTCAATGCTACGAAATTATAATGAAACTGGTTAGTTGACAGTTGTGTACACCCCACACTGTAAGAAAAGTTGAATGAACAGCTGTGTATGCCCTACACTGTTCGGAAAAATAGATTGTAAAAGGACAAACAGCTGTATACACCCCACACTGTTCTTTAAAAAGGATGAATAGCTAAAAGATGAACAGCTGTATACACCCCACACTATGCTATGAAAAAGATGAACAGCTGTGTATACCCACACTGTGATGAGTAAATAACTAGTGAAAATAGATTAGAAAGTGGAAAGTTGTGTTAAAGTATTCGGCAACTAAGCGGTAGAGCACCATTTCCATAATTTTTTTTATGATGTACCTTTGAACTAATTGAATTGAGAAATTGATTTGCTTTAGAAAAGAAAAATGAAAAGAAAAAGTGTAATAACGTAGTTGTAAGTGAAATTCGAGCGAAAATAATATGTAAAATTAAAATATATTAAAAAGTATTTTATTAAAAAAAAAAAACTAAATGAATATACTGTTTAATATCTTAATTTTTTAGTATTAAGTTAATATAAGAAAACTTAAATATCTACTCACTTGTTTTGACTTGAAGGCAAATCTAAGAATCCTTAATGTTGTCAATTTCTATTGACATATTTCTAGCTAGTGATTCAATATCGAAATGTTTGTATTGCAGTTCTAGTACAATAGCTTGTTTTCTTGAACTAACTATTACTTCATCTTGCTCTTCGGTCTATATTGAATATTTGTAGCCCAATATTTATATTTGTCATAATATCTAAAGTATATACCTGCGATATATCTATTTCTGTACTAGTATTGTCATTATCTACTGAGATATCTGTGTCAGAAAATTCGATAATATCATTAGTTTCACTATTAATTGCTGCAAAGTATTTAGTATTTGGTTATACAATAAATTTTCAGATAAATCAATTGCATAACAAGTCAATTCTTGTTTAGCATTAGTAATATAAAAGGTATGTAGTTTGCATATCTCTTCTACTCGTTCTGTAGCCAAATTAGTATATCTTTGATTATAGAACCAACTGAGAACTAAAA